CATCATCTGATGGTTCTACCAAACGTGTTCCTTCTAAAGAACCACAGAGTCCTGGATCCATCATCTGAAGGTTCTACCAAACGTGTTCCTTCTTAAGAACCACAGAGTCATTGGATTGAGAGTCAGGTTCTTATGAAGAGTCACAAATCAGATCAAAGTTCTGTATCAGACGAAGGTTCTATATCAGACGAAGGTTCTTTATCAGATAAAGGTTCTGTATCAGATAAAGGTTCTTTATCAGATAAAGGTTCTGTATCAGACGAAGGTTCTGTATCAGATAAAGGTTCTGTAACAGATAAAGGTTCTGTAACAGATAAAGGTTCTTTATTAGATAAAGGTTCTGTATCAGATAAATGTTCTTTATCAGATAAATGTTCTTTATCAGACGAAGGTTCTGTATCAGACGAAGGTTCTGTAACAGATAAAGGTTCTTTATCAGATAAAGGTTCTGTATCAGACAAAGGTTCTGTATCAGATAAAGGTTCTGTATCAGACGAAGGTTCTGTAACAGACGAAGGTTCTTTATCAGATAAAGGTTCTGTATCAGATAAAGGTTCTTTATCAGATGAAGGTTCTGTATCAGAGGAAGGTTCTTTATCAGACGAAGGTTCTGTATCAGACGAAGGTTCTGTAACAGATAAAGGTTCTTTATCAGATAAAGGTTCTGTATCAGACAAAGGTTCTGTATCAGATAAAGGTTCTTTATCAGACGAAGGTTCTGTAACAGACGAAGGTTCTTTATCAGATAAAGGTTCTGTATCAGATAAAGGTTCTTTATCAGATGAAGGTTCTGTATCAGAGGAAGGTTCTTTATCAGACGAAGGTTCTGTATCAGACGAAGGTTCTATATCAGATAAAGGTTCTGTAGGGACGTTCCCCTCTCTACATTGCTGCTGTGAAACCGGAGCTCTCTGGGTGTCTGCAGCTCAGACTGAAACTCGACTCCGGCTGAATGTCAACTGTAGAAAGTCGAGGAGAAAACGAACCAACAGTAGAACCACAGAACTCAGAGGAACATACTGGGTTCCACATGTAGAACTCAGAGCATACTTCAGTTTGTGTTGAAGACAATAAATTAAAGGAAAACTTTAGGTCAGTGATTGACCTACCTGACGATCTGCTGTTCTCTGTAACAATTTCTTTAACGTTCTCTTTAATGTTCTCTGTAACATTTTCTTTAACGTTCTCTTTAACGTTCTTTGTAATGTTCTCTGTAACATTTTTTAACGTTCTCTGTAACGTTCTTTGTAATGTTCTCTGTAACTTTTTTAACGTTCTCTGTAATGTTCTCTGTAACGTTCTTTGTAATGTTCTCTGTAACATTTTTTTAACGTTCTCTGTAACGTTCTTTGTAATGTTCTCTGTAACATTTTTTAACATTCTCTGTAATGTTCTCTGTAACGTTCTTTGTAATGTTCTCTGTAACATTTTTTAACGTTCTCTGTAATGTTCTCTGTAACGTTCTCTGTAATGTTCTCTGTAACATTTTTTAACGTTCTCTGTAATGTTCTCTGTAACGTTCTCTGTAATGTTCTCTGTAACATTTTTTAACGTTCTCTGTAATGTTCTCTGTAACGTTCTCTGTAATGTTCTCTGTAACATTTTTTAACGTTCTCTGTAATGTTCTCTGTAACGTTCTCTGTAATGTTCTCTGTAACATTTTTTAACGTTCTCTGTAATGTTCTCTGTAACGTTCTCTGTAATGTTCTCTGTAACATTTTTTAACGTTCTCTGTAATGTTCTCTGTAACGTTCTCTGTAATGTTCTCTGTAACATTTTTTAACGTTCTCTGTAATGTTCTCTGTAACGTTCTCTGTAATGTTCTCTGTAACATTTTTTAACGTTCTCTGTAATGTTCTCTGTAACTTTTTTAACATTCTCTGTAACGTTCTCTCTAATGTTCTCTGTAATGTTCTCTGTAATGTTCTCTGTAACGTTCTCTGTAATGTTCTCTGTAACATTTT